AAAGCACCTACACAACTTAAATATATCTTCGTAAGTATATAGTTACATACATATGTACATATATTCATACATATGTAAATATATACAAGAAGAAGAAATTTGCATAGTACAACTATAGCATTAAATGGAGTGATAATATGCACATAAGGGATGTTCTTATTCGATTTTTTTAGTGATAAACTTACAGTATATTACAATAGATATATCGTCGACTGAGTAAGGGATCACCCAATCTCGGCTAGCCGGTTCGAAAACGCCCTGTTTCAGAATTTGGTTGAAGAACGCCCTGTTTCAGAATTTGGTTCAAGAACGCCCTACTTCAATAAGAAAGAGCGTTTTTGAACCATCTGCTGAGATAGGACGTTCTTCAGCCAAATTTTGAAATAGGACGATTTTTCCACTCAACCGTCGCACCTAAAAAGTCACAACTTAAAACGTTATATATATGGTCTGTGCACTTTTTCGTGTAAAAAAATTTAATTTGTTGAGACCGATGATGTTAATACTATTTCTGAGATATAGAATTCTGCAGCTCTTACTATCTTTACTAGCATCAAATAAGGTATTCTCATCCGAGACATTGGAATTTGTTTTTACGTGGAGCCCGAAGCCCAGGTGCTACCGTAGGCTTGGTATGCATTTGGACAGCAAAGCATTCTTTCGTCCCATCTTACCGTCCTCTGGTATGCCGTAAAAGCGGGGGCGATGTCGAACAAAGAAGGGAACGCCTTGGGTGCCTTTGAGAGCACAATTTTCTGTAAGATCTATGGCCTTGCATCGCGTGGGCGACATCCACCGAAGAAGATGGACTGATGAACTGTACGAGCTTTTGAACGACTTGGGCATACTTAAGCAAATAAAAATATAAGGATTTCATTGGATTGGGCATGTTGTACGCATGGATGATACTCCAGTGAAGAACTCAACTTCAATTCGGCACACATGCGTGGACGGTGAAAGCAAAGCTCTTACGAATGCAACTACTTCTTTTAAATATGGTCATATTTTTTAAAAACGTATTGATAGAAATATGAGTATAGCACTTCAACCATTCAGAAAACCGTACTCGTACTAATATTATAAATGAAAATGGGTAAGTTTGTGAGTAAATAAGTGAGTGAGTATTGCTCTTTCATGCTAAAACGGTATCAATTTCAAGCACATATGTATGTAGATATTTTTTGAAGAGACTTCCCACCTTTTTCAAAAGAAAAACTCAATTAATTTATAAGTTTATTAAAATATTACGACAGTGTACGTAGATGTCAAACGAAAGGGGTTCCAAATTGATTTCTTCGTAAATATTTTTTAAACGGTTGCTAAAAAGATTAATTAATAAGTTAAATAAGGTATAACAAATATGTGATCGTCGAACGAAAAGGGTCAATTTATTTCGATTTTTTTAAGAGGTTTGCCACCTGTTTAAAATTCCAATCTCATTATAATATGGATGTCAATTAAAAGAGGTATAACAAAGCTTTGTTTCGAAAATATTTTTTAACTGGGTTGCAACTTGTTGATAAATCAAATGAAATGTAATCAATAGGTTTGCAAAAACAATACCAAATGATGTCAAGACAAATTTTCGGAAATGTTCTAGTTAAATTTGTTCAATTATTTTAATGAAACATTACAATATGGATGCCAAACGAAACAGGTTGACAAAAGCTTTTTTACGAAAACAGTTTTGAAGAGGGTGTCACCTGTTTAAGAAATAAAATTCAAGTTCACTTTTGCAAAATTGATTTCCTTTCGTCTTTACAAAAAAATATGCACAAACAAACATACACTAGACGACAAATGGATTATTATTATTACAATTTTTTCATGAACAATTCTTTGCATCAATTATTTATGAAAACATAGTTCATTCTAATACAATATAAACCATGGAAATCAAGGTTTCACACGTGCAGGTTTCAACCGGCTAAAAAATCGCGTTGATTTTTGAGAATTTTTTTTTTGGAGACTGCTTTTGCGTTTTTGTTTTTTTTTTTTATATAACAAGTGCAATTTACAAAAAGTGGCGTTGATTTTTGGAAATTTTGTTGCTAACGGTCTCCCGCATTTTATTTAACAAGAACTTCGTGATTATATGGGAAAAAACTGCAAAAATCTGTCACCAAAAAAAAAAAATCTCACAAATCAACGCGATTTTTTAGCCGTTTGAAACTTGCACTTCATTAGACTAAAATTAAACGGGCTACAAAACTGCATACTGGAGGGCTTTCTAAAAATTCTGAATAAAAAGTTGAAAATTTTTATGAAAATTTGTTGAGTTTTTGTGAACTTTATTTATGTAAAACTTTGATTTATATGGTTTATATTATAGAATGAACTATATTTCTATAAATAACACAGGTTTCCAAAAAAAAGTTTCTGCATATTAAACCAAACCTCTATATCCCTATGAATGGAAATCTGCCTCTATCACGTCAGGTTCGAGGTCATTTGAAGGGCAAATAGCGAAAGATTCATTGAATAATCCTGAAAATTCATATATATGGCGTTTTCGACTCGCTGAACTCGTATCTGTCGTGGGCTAACGTCCATAATGTCAGGGTCGAGGTCATTTGAGGCTTAAATAGGAAAACAAATTTATTCAATAAAGATAAAAATGCATATATGTACATAGATTTTTGTTTTCGCTAAATCCGTATATGGGGTCCCTTGATTGTTCTAGGTTATCTCTGAGGTCATGCCAAGGTCATCTCAAGGTGAAATTCAGAAAAACTGTATTGAAATTTGAGGTTTATTCAATGAATTTTTCCCAACTTGACTTTCAAATGACCTCGAACCAGACATGATGGAGACCAACAGACTTCGGATTCAAATTCAGCGCGTCGAATAGCAAAGGGATATAGAGGTTTGGTTCAATATGCAGATTATTTTTTTTGTTGACCTGTGTAATTTATGCAAACAAATTTTCATGAAAATAATTCTGAGTATCATTTGTCGCCTAGTATTTATCAAATATACCAATGAGATATTGATACGAGTACGAAACAATGTGTTTGGTTTTTATTTTGTAATTTAAAAAAAATGTGACACCCTATAAAAATAATTTTAAAAATTTGTGTTTTTCATAAGTTGTATAAAGACTAGTTTCGAAATGTAAGTTGGGTTTTTATATTGAAATGGCTAATTCAGTTGAAATTCGGCAAATTGACCATCTTTTGGAACTTCGAAAAATTAAGCACCCTTTTTAAAATAAAATTTATTATTTTCGGTGATATAATTTATTTTCTTTTTTGTTACATTTGTGAAATCATGCCGGTAAACCAAGCTTAACGCGGATGGAGCAACGTGCAAAAGCCCGTTAAAAATATTTGTAAGTTGAATTTGGATTTCCTCGTAATATTAGCTTTAGACTTAAGTTCTTATTCCTGATGAGCACAGATGTGTTGGTAAAGCCCCATGTAAAACGACGTCGAAGTAAAAGTTTGCACATCCGCCACCCAGTAGAGAGCGCCTACACGTCTGATAAACTGCATATGCAAATTAACACATATGTATGTATGTATATATGTACATTAGACTGCAAAAAGTTGCGGTTTTTCCGACGGGATTACAAAATTTATTATATTTTACGAAGTCCACCAAAATATTTCGGAAAAATATTAAGATTTACGTGAGCTGGACCGATTTGAAAATACCTCCAAAAATGGAGTTTTTTATGAATAAAAATAAAGAATTTTTTGAAAAATGTCGCCTCAGATGACAAAACAGATTAAGCTTAAAAAATCTGCATAAAAATATTTAAAAATATTTTCAACGGGATCGTAATAATGAGATTTTTTATGATGTTTTTTTTTTTACTTTTTTCAAAGATAGATTTACGAAAAACTTGAATAACTGGGCCAAAACTGTTCTTTTTTTGACTTATGAGGTCTCAGTAGAAAGGTGTTTTCTCACTATTTTTATTTCTGTGCAAAAAAAAAGTCATTCGAGTCCCATTTTTTTTTTTTTTCAAATACCAACACATCTTAATTCAACTTGGAATGACGCTCGTTCATCCTACCTTTCTCTTTCATCCTTTAAATGAGTTTATTAGCAAATAAATAAAAAAGTATGAGAAAATACCTTTCCAATGATACCGCACAAGTCTAAATCGTAAGAGTTTAGGGTCAGTTAATCAAGTTTTTCTTATACCAGTCTTTGAAAAAATCATCAAAAAACTCATTATTACCATTCCGTTGAAAACTTTTTTTTTAATTTTTTTTTTTTAATATTATTATGCAAATTTTTTATGCTTAAACCGTTTTGCATTTGAGGGGATTTAAAAAAAAAAAAACATCTTTAAGAAATTATTTTTATTCATAAAAAGCTCCATTTTTGGAGGTATTTTCAAATCGGTCCAGCTCACGTTAATCTTAATATTTTTCCGAAATATTTTGGCGGACGTCTTAAAATATAATAGATTTCATAATTTCAATGGAAAAAGAGTACCGATTTTTTTTTGCATGGGGAGTGATGCAGTCTAATATACATATGTACATATGTAGCTACAAATTTGCACGCTTACAACGGTCAATGCATCGACGAGTAGTAGGCAGACCAGATTGTTGATGTTGATGCTTCAGCGATCGCGTGTCATCTTATATTTTATTTGAACTCATGACAACGGCAATTTAATGCCAAACAACCTGACTGAAGTAAAATAAACAAAAGTATCATCCTCTAACCATGCCTCGTGACCGAGAAGATTCCCTAAGTTAGATATGTATGTAAGGTCCTAAGCACCGAAACGCTATGTTGAACATAACAGGCATAAAACAATCAGCAGAGAGAAGCAGCAAAATGATCTAACCAAGCGACTTCCCGGCTTTCGAGTGGATGCGAGTCACTCACTACGAGTATTAAGGCTCTTGACATTGAAAACAAACAAACAAACGCAACAAATCCAGTTTACTGCTGAAATCTGGATGGAGAACCATAAAATGAGCGCTGTATCAATGTATCAATTATGCAGGAAATTTCGCGCTGAGTAAAAGGCCAAAGATGAGGCAGAAGCCAATTTAGTTGCTGCTGAGACGCGAATCAAGACAGAACCAAGAATATTTGAAAAGCCGGTGAAATTTCAGTCGCGCAACCGGGGAACAGTGATATTTGCATATCGGTATAACAGCACAGGAGCATACATACATACATACATATGTATGTACATTGAAAGCTTGGTCTAATTAATGAAGTCTGAAGTCAACAGTGCAAGAATGTGGTCTGTACTTTTTGCGATCTTCTTCTTCGGCGGTTATATTTGTGAAAATTGTGAGTTACAATGGAATTATTTTTCGGTCATATATGTAAACAAATATATACAGTATGTATGTAGATATGCATGTAAATAACAACTTTTCCTTAAACTCCTCAGCAGCTTTGGCTCAGGATGCGTTGCGTGGCATTGTTTTCCCCAAGGAAAGTAGTGATAGCACCTGCTTTGTGGATACAACGAAAAAAGTACGTGGCACCTGCAAAAATCTAGCCGAATGTGGTTCAGCGCTAAGGCGTTGGAAGAATCAAAATATACGTCCACAAACTTGTTATTTCAATAAATTCGAACATATAGTATGTTGCGAAATCGAAACGAGTCCTATATTGGAGCCAATCTTATATATGAAACCGATGCAGGTGAAGCGACGCAGTGAGATGGGTAAGTTGGTTAATTTACTTTCGAAAGGTAAATGGCATCAAGGCGGGAAATAGTAATTAAAAATCAACTGAATTTATTCTACAATCATAGCTGAGTTTGTTGAGCTTCACAAACTACTGGAAGAATAGAATTTTCACAGAATTTGTATGGATGTTTTCATAGATCAGTAGTGCATTTCTGTAACGATCAATATTCAACTTGCTCTCAAATTATTCTGTTATAGACTTTGAAATCAATACTGAATGAATTAATTACTTCGTTTGTATGAAATTTAATATTTTCTGGATTATTAAATAAATAAATAAATATTCCCGATTGAAATGATCGATTTGATGTGCATACATACATATAATTTAGTCGATATCTCGATCGAGAATTTAGTCGATTTCTTACAGAAACACACTACAGGTCTAGATATTGTCTAAAAATTTAGCCTTTAAGGGCTGTTTGCAGCTCTAGAAAAACGAAAAATTTATACAAAACCACGCACAAGAAATGGAAAAGAAATTTTCTTCAAGCAAAATTTCTTAAATCAGTTTGCAGCTCTCACGAAAAAAGTTCTAGAATATTTATTTCTTCAAGAAAATTTACAGCAAGAGCAAAGTACTTTTTCAACCAACAGAAATAATGAAAAATATTTCTTATGATTTTTCTTGAGAGCTGCAAACAGCCCTTTAGGCGTCACTGAAATCAAGATAAATAATTGAAACATAATTAAAGAGGCATTCTTATTCCGTTATTCGCTAAAAAATTAAGTAATTTAAACTGCGTTTTCGTTAAGCGACCCTCGTCGTAAAACGTCGATGAGAACTCTTTTGGAGTGTATCATGGCGATGTTATATCTCTCTACTTGAAATGAAATTCATCTCTTACCAAATCCATTTTTTTTTTTACTATTTTTATACGAAATTCTCTTGGTATCGGATCAACAAAGGTGTAAAGATTGGAATGGAGCCTTTGGACTTCAACTTCTTTCAATTTGCGCTTCCATAGTTAGGCTTGTCAAGCTGCTCAAACGATTAGGATATGCAAAATAAACACAAATTAACCAGCCTAGGGTAAAGTAAAAATCATTAACAGGCATAATAAGTCTAAGCAGGGCCAAGCTTTAGCTGTTTGTTTCGAGAAAAGTTTATGAAGCAAAAGTTGCATTTAAGTTATTAAGGTACATGTAAATACGTACACGTTACATCCTGGTACTTTTAAATTGATATGTTTATATGTGCGTGCGTGTTACTGAATGCCATATATGCTTACAAAGATATTTAGTTCATGGGGCAAGAGACTCGTCATCGCACAACCAATTGAATCTAATTATGAACATTTAAACAAGACAATTATTTCATGCTGTGATAGGGATCAGTGCAATTAAGTAAAAAAAGAGAAAATAAGAGAAATGGGAATGCATTCTGAAATTACAGCCGAGATGGCATTAATGCAGATAAATTCAATTATTTTGTTGATCTCACTTGATCCGTAAATGTGTATGTATGTGTATGCACAGATGATAACACTTGTGATAAAAGGTTACATAAATGTATGAATGTTTATTTTTTCAAAAGTACTTAGCATTAAATTTATGTTTTCAGGACCTAACGTCTTACAATGAATCTTCTACGTGCATATGTTCTAAATGTAAGGCAATCCCAATTTTTTTTTGTTTATTTAGCCTAATCTGTGGGTCACCTTTTACATTCTCTGAAACGAAACAGTTCCCTCTACTGTAGTAAAATAGCTTGCCAGCAGGTGAAGTAAAATACTAAAGTGTAATTCTTAACAGAGTTACGGATTGGGACCGTAACACTGATATCCGTTTAAAGAAAGTTGAAAGCCTCGAAGTCGGCAACGTTCAAATTTAAGAGGCTAAAGAGTGGGCACAATTCTTCCTAGTTTAACATCACTATTTCGCATCACATGGTGGCTTCTTCCTCTTCTTCTTCAAAATTATTCTTTACTTTCTCATTCTTTCACTATTATGACGTCGCGCCCAGTTGCTCTCAGCTAGATTAGCGCAATCTTGTATTCAATCATTCTCGATTCTGCATAAGAGCTGACGCATTCACCTTATCAGCTCTTCGCCGCCGTACTGGAATAAGCCGTAAGCTCCAGCAGCTTTGTTGTTTTTCAGCCGCATAATCGCTATTCGTTCCTCGTCATAGTTAGGCGACGAGGTTCGTCTTATTCTCTAGTTTCAGTGCTGTTACCATTTAGTAGGGTGGAAAATGTTATCTCCATATTTTAAGTACATACGTTCTGGACATCGGTCACTAGGTCACCATAGTTGTTCTTACAGGAGTTCGACCTGGGCCCGAATCGCGGCATTCGTGATCGAGTGATTACTCGTAGCTATTTTCTCCACAATACAATTTAAACGGACGAAGCACACTCGCTATCGAATGCCGCGATCTTAAAATCAAATTTCGATTCGTGTTACGTTCGATATCGAATGCCGCGATTCGGGCTCTGGTCTTAAAACCTTCCATAAGTCGCCAAACTCTCTGATAAAATTTGCGGCCATCTTTTCTGTTGAACAGCACTTCAAGCTCTTTGCACTCGCGTATTTCGGCCTCTCTCTTCTTATTGCGGCAAATACGTCTCGCTTCCCTCTACAGTTCCCTATAACGGTCCCACATTTCTCGCGTTGCGCAAGATCGCAGCGTGACCCTGTAGGCGCCATCTTTTTTCTATTCGGCTTCTTCACACTCCTCATCCTACCAGTTCTTCTTTTGGGCTCGCTGAAATCCTACTACTTCTTCGGCGGCAGCACTTAATAAGCGTGAAATGTGGTTCCACTGCTCGCGTATGTCGGTTTGTTGAAGAATGCTCTCAGAGATCAGGTGTAATAGTCGAGAGGCGAATAAATTGGCGGTATTTGTGATTGCAGCTTTAAGCTTCTCTCTGTCAGAGCATGGGCGAAGATGAGCGAGATGTTGAAGAATCTCACTTTGATGCAGGTTGTGGCTAGACATTCGTCCACCGGGTGAACGACCAGAACTCGGCAAGGCAGCCTCTCTGCCACCACAAATCCAGGAGGTTTAAATACGAAAGTATTTAAGTACTTATGCATTATTATTATTATTATTACTGATACATATGTGTGTATGCAAGTCTAAATCGTGTTTTTTTTTTTCTTTGCAGAATGTGAATCTCAACAAGGTACCTTTCATACAACTGTGGTGAATGGCCAGCCAGCGGCACCTAGAGAATTTCCCTACATGGTAATTACTCAATAGCGAAAAAATATGCGTACAATTTTATTTAAATGCCTATGTAATAACATCACTTTTTTTAGGCTGCAGTGGGTTGGCTGTCCAACAATGATAAAGGCAATTCCTTTTTCTACTGCGCCGGCGTATTAATATCACCGCAATTCGTGTTGACAGCAGCGCATTGCACGGGCTTGGGCGGGTAGGTTTTTAATGGGAACTACTACTAAATACTACCTTTTTTGATTGTTTAAAGCTGCATTTGGTATTTAAATACTTACATACATATGTATTTAATTTACACAGACAATCGCCTACAGTGGTACGAGTGGGCGGCACTAATATCACCGATCCGCAAACACCAAATATACCCATTAAGAGAATCATAGTGCATCCAGGTTATAGGAGCGGTGCATCTTATAATGATATTGCATTATTGGAATTGGCACAGGAATCAAGGTTTCATACATAAATAACTAAATTTCGCGAACTTTATACCAATAAAATGGTTTATCATTCCTTTATTTTTAAGAGAAACTCCAGCTTGCTTGTGGAACCAGTACGATGTACCACATAACAATGTAACAGCTCTCGGTTATGGGCACACGCAATTTGGTAAGAACACTTTTAAAAGGTACTGTACGCAATTGAGGTGATTAGTGTTTTTTTTTTGTGTATCTGTGATTTTCAGCTGGCACCAACTCCAATGTTTTGCAGAAAGCCACTTTATTTGTTGTACCCAATGACATTTGTATACGTTACTATATGCCAGATGAGAATATTCTGCAGCAAGGTTTGGCCAGCACACAGATATGCGCTGGTGATCAGGAAAATCGTCGCGATACGTGCCAGGTAATGTGCTCTAAATAGTACGCAATTGACTTTTTTCGCTTCATGTCAAACATTTTTTTTTTTTCAGGGCGACTCTGGCGGTCCGCTAATCATGAAAGTCGATCGCGACATCACCTATTCGTATGTGATTGGTATAACCTCATTTGGACAGGCTTGTGGCGGTGCACCACCAAGCATTTACTCACGCGTTTCAGCGTACATCGACTGGATAGAGGACATTGTATGGCCGATAGCACAGCTGAGTGGTTTCGGAGTGAATGGTTAAAATTTTGGCGTAGAGAGAGGGAGAGAGAAGAGAAATGATTATAATTATGTATAAAACTAAGAGAGAATATTTGGAATTTTTAGATGTAGCTTTAAGTAAAATACAATTTGAAAAACTACTATTTGTAGATTTGTAACGCAGACCCATCATAACATGTCGCCCATTTACCGGAAGTCCGAAACAAAGCCCTTCTTATTTGGTGTTTGGCCGAGCTTATCCTCCAATTTGTCTGGGCGTCCTGGTGTTATAACAAAAATGGAAGGACCTACAATTTTATGCTACCTATGCTAACGGCAAATGCTGCTAATAAAAAAAAAATTCATTTTAGATGTTACTCGGCCCAGTGATCGTACCCAGTTCATATGGAGTGGCAGTCCGCACCTCACACCACTCGGCTTCCGCTCGTAGCTTAATCTATGGATTATATTTTGCGGTCGGCTATGGTGTAGTGGTTAGAAGTGCCCACTACCGTTCCGCAGGGCCTGGGTCCTGGTCAAAAAAAAGGAAAGAAAAAATATTTTCTATTAGCGTTCGCCCCCTCTGCAAGAAATGACAAACCTCCGAGTATTTTCAGCCATGAAAAATAGCTTCTCATAAAAATACATTCGCCGTTTGGAGTCGGTGTAAAACTGTAAGTTCCTCCCCTTTGTGTGACAAAATCAAGGCGCACGCCAAAAATCGGAGGAGAAGCTCGGCCAAACACTAACATATTTTGTAAGTGCCAAGCTATTATTATTCACTAGAAGCCTATGTATGTATTTTTAGTTACTAATTATATCTGCGGATGGAGGAAAAAAATTATTAAGGCCATTTTTCACGCTTCTTGATTTTTTTAATTTATGGACTCTTGCCAGTAAAGACTGCAAATACCTTTTGTTGTATGACAATAAATTTTTCATTCAATAAAGATTAATTTGAATTCGCTTGTCAATAAGTTAATAATAAAAAATATATTTGACACAAGCTTTCCCAAATATCTTAACTCCTGCGCCACCTATCGGCAACATTTTTTGTGGAGTTATTCGTTTTCATGTTAATAATATATCGATCGCTGAGTGTAAGATCGACCTATCTCGGCAGCCAGTTCGTAAACGCTCTATCTCAAAAAACTTTTCAAGAACGCCCTACTTCAGAATTTAATTGAAAAACACCCTATCTCAAAATTCGGTTCAAAAACGCCCTATCTCACTACAAAATGTATTGAAAATATGCTGATATAGGGCGTTTTTGAATCGACAGCTGAGATAGGGCGTTTTTGAAACGAGTTCTGAAATAGGGCGTTCTTGAAAAATTGTTTGAGATAGAGGGTTTTCGAACAGGCTGCCGAGGTAGGTCGATCTTCCACTCAGCCATCGATATATTATAAATATAAACTAAATCAGACCATAATTGCGGGTTTCGAAAGTAAATCAACCACCGCGCCATCTACCAGCTAAATTTTGTGCGGCGCTATTTATTTCCATGTAATTAATACATAAATGTTCTAAATATGAAACAAATCGGCCCATAAATACGGTTTTTCAATTATCTCGACTCCTGCGCTACTAACGGATTAATTTACCTTTCATATTGCATTTTTATCGGGTTCGGATCCAAGTCTAACGTACAAACTAGAGATGGGCGCGGGATAGCGGTACCCGCGGGACGAAAACGAACAGCAAAGCAAAACAAAATCGGAAGATGCCAGATCTTTCATTATTATTTGAAAAAAATTCGAAAGACATGAACATTTTTATCAACCTTCGATCGGTTTGTGAACCACGCTACACACGTTGAAATCTCAACCGTCGTTTCAATTTGTTGTCCGTTTGTAGCCCGCTTTAGAGATATATATCGGGACCCATGGGACCCGCGGTACAGTTCTGAAAAACGTCTGGATGGCCGGGTTCGGGACTCAAAAATCGAATTTCTAGTACAAACATACTTAAATACATACACACAGAGCAAGTTAGATAAAAGCTTTTTTTATTTGCCGGTACAACCGTTTTTCGGTTTGTGCCGATATCAGAAAACTTCGCCAATTTCGTGTGTCTTTTGCAAAATTCACACTAAAAGTAGGTAGCTCTTCCTGCACTTAGTGTTTCCATTATGTTTGTGGTTGCCATTGGCCGTTGCCTACCCATGGGAACCAAATCGAAGGGTATTTTCACCACCTCATCACTAACATCGTAAAATATAGCTCCTACAGACATAACCTCAAATACTTAGACCAGGTTTAGAAATAATATCTTTATAGGTTTATCTTTTTCCAATTATCACTAAGAATGTTTGCGTTGATCATCAAATAAAACTCGAGAAGCTTGTCTTAACAGATCTCATGGTGGAGAAAATTTCTACATAACTCAAAGACACGCATGGCTTAGGTTAGATGGGTATTGTCGAACGGGATATATGTACTGAGACAGTATCGGTTGCCTAAATCGCTCAGGCCATTTTATAAAATAAGCCAAGACATTCAGAGCTTTATATCTTGAAGGCAGGACAGCTAAGCAGCAGTAAATTACCTCATCATATCAGCCTGATTTGGAAGAGTTCAGTATGGAGAAACATTAAAGTCAGAACAGGATATTGGGCCGTTTGGCTATCTGAATAAATGTAGACCTCAAAAGACATTGTTACACCACTGCTTCATAGAACGCTGCAGATAACTAAAACCCAAATAAGCAATTCCAACTTCGAAGTTTTCAAACATTATCCAGTTTCTCTCTTTCAAAGCCGACGCCGATCAGATGGATTTTCACTCCGTCTTAACTGTGCTAATAGGACATTCAGTGCCATGTACACCTTCACAGCCTTTCAGCTTCATCCGACTCGGAGAGCTTAAAAACAAGGAATTCCGCTGCGTCTATGGACGCTGGTCATAAGGCATCTGGTGTTAGGACGGCCAAGTTGAAAGATGATGTAAATATGTAGGTGGATTGGGACATGGGGGCTTTATCTGCGGGGAGGGTAATTGTTTGCCAATTCAGTTTATAGAAGATAATTAGTTGTTGAGCCGATTGCAACAGGATCTTTCTCGCACGAGAGAACCTCCGCTTGGAATATACTCGAGTCTACCCATGGAAACTGCGATCTTTTTGTTCATGGACTAAAAATGCCGACTGCAATGCTCTCGGTTGTTTTTGAGTTTGCTACATACTAGAGAGTTCAGCTGGAAGTATTTCTCAATATTTGCGGCGTTCCAGCTTGCCTTGTTCCCTAGATTTATGCGGATGTTCTTTTCGAAGTTAACAATTTCTGTGGGAAGGTTATGGGTATCTGAGCCCTGAGAGATTCCATATTCCGAGATGATACCACATTCTCCTTACCCCATCCTTCTGTGCCCATCATTATTAGTTGCGATCCCGTACGAGTCCGGACTAGTCAGAAATGGTCAGAATCAGTCAGATTTTACTGGAAATCGATCCCGTACTCGGTTCTCTGACTATTGAGAGGACAAAAAAGAGAGTAAATACGGTTCTCTCTCTGTCAGAAGTTACCAGTTTTAGTCCGAGAATTTTTTGCTGGTAAATTCTGGTAAATGTGTCAAACGATCAGCTGTAGTGTGTTTGGCAACCAAATTGTAAACAAAAGAAAAGTTCAATCTGATAATTCATGTTGAAAAGTATTTAATTACTTGTTTAAGTGGATTCTAATGAATTTGAAAGTATTTTTGGTTATTTACATGTGTGAGATGAGTGTGTTTACATACAAAATAAGCAAAAATTTACAACCAAAATTTAGAGGTTATGTTGAAGTTGACAGAAGTTACCATTTTTTACTAGAAAGCGATCCCGTACTTTTCAATGTTACTCTCTCGCTCTGAGCGAATTTTTATTTTTTGACAGTTTTACTAGTCCGAGTCCGAGGAATACGGGATTGCACCTAATATTAGAAGGCAACCAGATGGCGAAGAATATGGATGACGGGGAATAAGCTAGGAAGATCGGTGAGATATATAGGCAGTAAGTTTTCCGAAGGGGCTGTTGGTCTATTGACAACACAGTACAGTCTGCCGCTGTAGCTAAATGATTAGAGATGCGTACAACACGCTGTAGGACCTGGGTTCGATTCCTGCCTGGGCAAGAACTAAATTGGAAAGTTTCTTCTAGCAGCGGTCGCTCCTCGGCACGTAATGGCAAAGCTCCTAGTGCTTTTCTGCAATGATAATGCTTCATCCGATCTGGAAGTGTCCAATACATCAAATATTGCCCCCGTCGAAAGTAAGAAAGAGTAAAAGACGTTGTTTTTAGTTTTTACGTATACCTAAAATAATTAGGTGATTTTTCAAAACTTTTATTGTTTTTTTTTGTATTACGCTTTACTTGGTAATTTGTTTTTTCTTTGAATATTTTCTAGCGTATTTTTTTTCATATTAATTTTACATTTTTATACAATGGATTTTTTGTTGTTTTTTTTTTAAGTTACGTTAAATAAAAATTTTTTAAATTACACGAACTAATATTTATATTAATTTTTAATGTTTTCATATGTACATATATGTATGTATATATACTATATATATAGATATATTTAAATATACTACGTAAGTAAAATTACAAATTTCACATTTCCTTCAACGATTTGTATTTGTTTATTAATTTTTTTTTTTGTATTCAACTGAAGATATCATTCGCCGACTGTCGCACTATTTAACTACATTATTTACTATGTTGTATGTATGTATGTAGTTAGTACTCGTGTATACATTTGCAGACTTGTGTGTTGTTGTTGTTTGCACGTATGGGTATGTTTGTAAGTTTGAGTTTACAGAAAGAGTTGAATATTTGTTTGAAAAGGTTTTGGAGTGCATACAAACATTTATACATAGTATGTATATATGTATGTACAGTATCGGACATATCATTTTGGACCAAATACAAAACGATATTGTTTGCCACTTGTTTATTTATTAATTTTTATGAATTTTCTATTAAAACACAGTTATTCTCTCTCATATACCATAAAAACCCAATTATAAAATTTTGTAGAGCACTGAAAAAAAAAACAATTCATAAAATTTTAATACAAATTTCGATTTTGTTTCTCAGAACTGCTAACATTTTTTTTTAGTAGATACACAGTTTTATAGCCCTTTAAATTTAAGTATAATAATCGGCAGTTTTAAATGTCTAGGAATTACCGTTGAGAATTTTTGTGCGG